CCACATTTTATGGAACAAAATCTATTATATTCGATTTTCTTGAGGACAACAATAAGCAAGATGGGTGTAAAAAAAAGAAATCCTACGGTACTACAGTAGTGATGCAGAAACCAACCTTTTGTGGACTCGCAGCTGCAAGTGTGTGTGTGGATGAAAGACTTCATCGTATTGAACGTGTTACGATATTATACCATATTAGTCAATAATTGTAAAAATTTAATCACCGAGGAAATAATTTTATTGCTGAAAAATACTGATACAGTAAAAAAAATTGATGATTTGGTGATAGAAGGTGTTGTGAAGAAAAATTCTGATCAAATTAAATAAACTGTAAAAGAAAAGTTTCAGTCTCCTACCGACAACATATTTTTGCAATATTATTTTAAAATTATTTTCTTGAAGTTAACAAATATGTGTGTAAAAATATTTGTAAATGAAATAAGGTCTAAGTTGTGGAATGAATAATTTTTATGTACAAGAAGGTATAAATAAATGTTCTAAAACTCATAACTTGGATATTTCTCATTTTTACTTTTTCATATTTTATTTCGTTTTTTCTCAAGACAACTTACTCTGATACAAGCACACAGAACTGCAGCCCATAAACAATAAAATATCTCTCTTACTCTTCTGGGATCCTGATTTTCTCACCCTACAACTAGGTCTATTGCTAGAGAATAATAACCTCTAGTTAGGAGCTTATGACATTCGATCTGCATTAACACCCCTCACAAACACACCTCTCATACAGACCTATTATCCTGATACTTTAGCGCTACTTTTCCTCCTGCATCGATAAACAAAAAAATACCACATGTCTTGGACACCACCTTTCGCAGACATCAAAAATGCAAGGGAGACAGGGTCACTCCAGAAGTCCTATATTTTCACCTTTCCATTTTAAAAACCACGCCACTCCTCGAAGCCCCCAAAATTCCCCAGATAGGGACCCCGCTCCTCCCCCTCCTCCAACAGCACGACCAAACACTCACCCCGGGCCTGACCGCTGGCGCCAGACGGTGACGTCAGAGGTGTCTGGAAATTACTCACCCTTCCTCAAAGCCCCCAAAATTCCCCAGCTAGGGACCCCGCTCCTCCCCCTCTTCCAACAGCACGACCAAACACTCACCCCGGGCCCGACCACCGGCGCCAGATGGTGACGTCAGAGGTGTCTGGAAATTACTCACCCTTCCTCAAAGCCCCCAAAATTCCCCAGCTAGGGACCCCGCTCCTCCCCCTCTTCCAACATCACGACCAAACACTCACCCCGGGCCCGACCACCGGCGCCAGATGGTGACGTCAGAGGTGTTTGGAAATCACTCACCCTTACTACTGGTAAGGAGCTCAAATATGGTTTAGTCATGAATAATTAATAAAACTACTATTTATCAGAACGCCAGAGTAAAAGAGGGTGGTGGTCCTTTGTAACAATACGATGTTGAGCTAAAAATTCAAAGAAAAATACGTAGAATAACATTCTATACAAGAACATTTTACAGACATTAGTATGTTCTTCATTGTCCATGATAGAATTACCAAGACTGACAATACGGCCTAATTACGATGAAGTACTGACAAACTGATAATTATATGCCAGGCGTTGGTCAATACTCCCGCCAATGTCAAAATGATCATGTTGGACCGAATGTTCTAAAACTGTATTAGTCCAGGACTGTTAGTCGAGTCTGTCAAATAATAGTAGCTGCCAAGTATTGGCCGTATACGTTGCCGATACTCAGTCAATACATTAAAAAAAAATTAAAGATTCCAACCTCGAGAGATCCTGCATGTCAAGTTTATTTTCAGCTATCTGTAGTCTAAACAAAGATATTCCAGTAATTTAAACAAATAATTTGATTGAATTTATTATAGGAAGTTTTCAATACGATAGTGCATTGCAATCTTCGTCTTACAACGAGAAGAAAGAAAAGTGAAAAAAATAACCTAAGTTTGTTTATGTAAAACCCGAAAAAATGCTTTCGTATTCATTACTTATTTCCGAAAACGTCAGCACAAAAGCGATGAAGAAAATGTGACAAAAATTAGAGAAAATAGTCTTGTTTCTGTTATGAATACCATTTGTGGGGAAAAATTAATCCAGTAATAAATTATATAGTTATATTGGCTGGCAAGACTTAATCAGTACTGCATGGTAAATTTTGGACCAATATGATCATTTCTACAACCATACAACTACGGATCAGTATTGGCGAGCAATACTGTCAATAATGGGTACTAATGTTGGGTCACTGTTGGGCCGTGTTGCCTTTCTGTCATGGGTGTACACGAAATCCAGTAGCAAAATTTCAAAATGGCTATTTATAACTGAAAAACATCAGTTAAGCTTCTCATCCCCTATGCTAGTTTGCCAAAAAATTTATTTAGTGTTTGTTTGCAAATTAAACCTTATCTACGGCGCCCGCACGCCAAGCATCAATTTTTTTCACTGTTCACTATAAAAAAAAAGTTTATTGAATTATGCGAATTGCTTATTTGCCTAAGAATGACACAGATTTTTTTTCACAACAATGAAACAGTTAAGCATCTCTTCTTATTTATAAATCAAAGAGAGTTGACCTCCTCATCTACGGTGGTTACTTTCCAGAGGATTTATTAATTTGTTAAATATTTTTTAACGAGAAAAAAAAATGTAGCCGTCACCAGCACTTACTGCCTTAGAATTGACTTTAACTATAATTAGTAACTGAAAAAGAGTTTAGCTACTCATCGCTTGCGCCTGTTCCCTGGTAAATTAATTCAGTTGTTATTTATAAGATAAGGGGAGTTGAGATCCTCATCTGCAGCGCTAGCTTGCCAGTTTGTATACTCATCCAAGCACTAACTTGCGTGAGAAATGAATTATTTATCTTTCATAACTATAAAACAGTGAAATATCTCATCACCTGCACTTATTTCCCAAAAATTAATTAAGTTTGCATTTTTAACTCAAGATAGTTAAAAGCTTTTTTTTACGGTGTTTGCTCGCCTAAGCATCAATTTATCTATTATTTATCATTCAAAAAAGTCCATTTAGTCGTTAAACTAACGCTTACATTTTTAAAAATTATTTTTATAACTGTCCATAAATAAAAAACAGTTAAGCTTCTCATCGCCTGATCTTACTGTTCACTGAAAACATATCATTCAACTTTATTGAATCTTTAAATTTTATAATTTTATAATAGGTTGATCCCAGTAATCCAAATTTACTTCGTATTTTACACCTTGATTTTTCCGACTCAAATTCATTTATACTTTTCAGTTCATCATTTAACGACAACACGTTGATTTTTCGTTTAGACATAATGAGTTGATGTGAAAGCAGTACTGTTCACTGCAAATGATATTTATCAACTGTAGTAAGCATGACGAATAAGTTAAAACAGTTAAATATTATTTCTTCAAACTACAAGAAAACAACAGAATTCCAGAAACAAATAAAATGAGTCATACATAGATAAACTGTCGCTTATAGAGGTAAATACAAAGGAGGCTCTCAGTTATAGAGATCAGAGTAGGAAAAATGACTGTCACTTATGCAGGTTTTTGTTTCTCAATCATAGAGATTTTTAAGGTTTGGGAGAAAAGTTAAAAATAGAGAAATGTGCAAAAAAAAATGTAAGTTATATTTGAGTACGTAAGGAGTGCACATGAATTTTTTCAGATTTTTCACCAGGGGAAATTTTCAAGAAAAAAAATTATGAAATATTGACAGTTTAACACGGTCTCTTATGAGAGAGCAAGGTTAGGTTTGCCTTTTAATTGAAATTAAGGTATGTTCTAAGTGTGTTGGAATGAAAAAAAAACGTTTTCATAGATAACTTGGTACAAAAGGAAGATGCTCGAAAAAAAAAAAATCAAGCCTTGCCAGGCATTTTTCAAAAATATAATCAATTATACAGTCAGACAGTTTCAAGTTTGTAGACTGCAAGAGAAGGTGCGTGGTAAAGGGGGCCCAGATGCGTGGGCAAGGTGGACTCCCCGTTCCTCACCTCTCTGAATGATACCTCCTTAAAAGGTCAAAGTTCTGGAGCTGAAAACTTTTTTTTTTAGGTTATAACTATTTTCCCATAACAGCCTATGTTGAGGTGTTCATTTTTTATTTTGAAATATCTTAATAACTACATGGCTGAAATCGCCCAAAACGCACGTTTATAAAAACCCACTTAATAAATTAAAAACAGAGTTAGATCTCTCAACCGTTTTCGATGATATGTATTGAACTTCCTTAAGTGGTAGAGTTCTTTCCTTTCGCCTGGAGGACTTAGGTTCAAGACCTAGCTTTGTCACTTTTTCGCAGATACCTCTGTCATTTTTTGGATGTATTCTAAACGACGCAAAAGGCCAACCACAAAGACAAAGACAACATGAGAACCACTGAACTCCCTCCACTCTCCCTCGCTATGAAAAGTTATGGTATTAAATCCTCCTAATCCAACGCTGCCCGTAAGCACAGAGTAATTGAAGGGTGCAAAGTGAAACTCGAGGCTGCAAAGATTTGGCGTTCTTGCTAGGAAACAGTAGTTTTTGTAACTGATGGCGCATGTCTCCAGAGCAGGCACCAGACCCAAAGAATCTGCAAAACGTTGCTTGAGGAACTCCTTGTGCTTACCCTGGTTGGATGCGCACCAGGTGTAAACTCTATTTTACTTACTGAGGATGCAGTAAACGTCTAAATGTTAAAAAACGCCTAAAGTAGGAAAATAAACTTTTTTTATACTTTAATTTCTTTTTTGAACAATTTCATACGGAAAAGTTTAAAAATTTAAAAAAAGGTATATTTAGAAATTTGTTCTACTTACTGTAAGTTTTTTTTTCTATTCTGTTGGATTTGTGGAACAATGAAAGAGTGCTTATCAAAGGTACGCCATAAAAAAAATTTATTTTCTTACTAAGTAACATAAAATCCTATCTTTTTTTTAAATTCATGAAATATTTTGTACAAGTATTTATTTAGGTTACTTTGACTTTGTTTATTAGGTACGGAAATGTATACTGACGAAACATTCAGCAGCCTCGTCCATGAATCCAAGTTGGAACCTCTGCTGATCGAGAAAACCTTCGGCCAGGGTACGACGCAGTGTATCTGATGGCATGGCAATTTCCTGCGAGAACTGCAGCTGTGAGAAGAGATCCTGAAATGCAGAATACCGAGAAGGAAATTTAATTATGGCCTTCCAGTTAATTTTTTTTTTCCAACTTATTATTACACTTTTTTGCATAGAGCTGCATTTAATAAACTAAAAAAGGTGTAAATTCAGCTCCCCAAGCAGAGCATAATCATTATTTCTGAGAATAGGAACAATACATTTGCTGATTTTGGGTAACCTCATTATTTTATTTAATCAACGTTATTTGATAAGATAAAGCCTAGTTTTAATAAATATTTATTGCTATCCCTCAACATAAGATGTTCACGCATTAGAACGATTAAGCACTTGCTATAAATGACTTTAATACTTAAGGAAGTTTGGAAGTACCATTCAGAGTGGTGAGAAACGGAGAGTCCGCCCGGTCCACACTGATGTACTCCGTGCACTATGCACCTCCTCTTGCACTTTATAAACTTTAAACTATACGACTGTAATCGATTGTATTTTTGAAAAATATCTATGAAAATGGTTTTTTTTACCAGGTTACCAGGTCCACTCCACGCCAGTGAGGCTGGAACTCTCTGCTGAAGCATCGGATCCAGGCTAATTAGCATCCCTGGAGAAGCCCCATGTTTCACGGACCTTTCTTTACGGACCACTTCCTGGCACTTGGAAAAGGATCCGCTAATCCCTACCTATAGCCCTTGCATTATCTCGCATTCACCGAGGCCCGAAAACCTGTGAGGCAAGGAAAAAATCCTGGAATTGCTATGAAAGACATTTCCATGGAAAAACCTGCCCCTACATAGCCAGCGTTTCATAGAAACTTTTTTCAATGAAAACAGTTTGTAAACTAATCCGTATTCACTAGAAATTGAAACCACAACCCTAAAACGGTATTGCATCGGTTTCAAGTACGCTTACCACTGAGCCATCACCACTCCAATTTGTATCACATTTATAATATACCCTGATTTCAGTTAAAAGGCAATTTAACCTTGTTGTCTCATAAGAGACCGTGTTAAACTGTCAATACGTAACAATTTTTTTCTCGAAAATTTCCCAGATAAAAAATCTGCAAAAATGCATGTACACTCTAGACATACTCAAATATAACATGCATTTTTTCGGCGCGATTCTACATTCTTAACTATTCTCCCAATCCTCCTTTAACTACAATATTACACCGTCATAAGTTATAAGAAACGGAAATAATTATTTGCTTATCATGTTAACGTAATGACTTCACCAATTGTTATTGTTTTTCTTCATAAATGGAAATTGAAGAAGAAAAAAAATTAGAATCAGATGAAAAGAACCGGAGATATGCCTATTTTTCGCGTTATTTCATTTTGGATTCGTCTGACCAGAAAATGAATCTGCCTCTAGAAAAAAAATTTAGAATATTCTTAGTAATCAGTACTTTGATAACATTGAATTTTATCCATGAAAATTACCCTTTTCAAGGAAAACTCGATAACTTTAAAAAGTTTAAGTTATCAATAAGGTGTGTGTAATATTTCATGCATAAATGTTTATAAATAAACGTTTGGCACATTAAAGAATTAAAAAAGTTATCTGAGCACGTAAATATGCTAGAGGATTTTTATTTATCTGAGGAAAATTACCAGCAATCGAAATATAAAAGTATTGGAACAATACTTCCATTTGTTCTCAAGTTATTTTCAAAAAACGCAGTTTGAAAAAATTTCAATGTTGTTATCGCTATACTGAAGGTAAACATTGGTACTAATCAGTAGAGCAATAACAGACTCATGAAATTGATATTTTTACAAAAAAATGAGCTTTAGATGAACTTTTTTTGACAACGTCAATAGGCCAATTTTTAATTAAACATTATGGACTTTTCAATAAACAATCTGAATATCTGGAAAAGTATCAACAATTTCAAAAAAAAATTTTTTTGTAAGTGAAAATGAACAAAATACATATTTTACTAAGTCTAAAGCCTCTAGGATTTATCCTTTAAAGTAGTTCTTCAATGAAATGATTATCAACACAATAACATGAAACTTTGAGAAATCATGTATTAAGTTACAATACACTACCTCTCAAGGTTTAAGAGTAGGCTGACAAATATCAATGCAAGAAAATGATAAATGAAAAGTAGATTATAAACATGAGCTCTTACGGCAACTAAGCATTTTTTCACTAAAAGTTGTAGGCTACTTATTTATTTACTGAACATAATTAAGTAAAAAACTGACACGATAAAGCTTGCGCAATACTAAACATACTCTGCCATCTCGAAATACATATGTTCATGGACTTAATGAAAAGATATTAATACAAACACAAGCATGCATTTTCGTGTTCTATATTAAATGCATAGGTAAGCATCAACTGCTGGCATTTTGAGGTGAAGTGCACATTTTACATAATCATTCCTACGAACTTTTATACCGGATACCATAATCTAAAATTTTGAATCAGTATTTAATTTGACTCAATAAACAATATTTACAAATAATTATTTTAAATTTAAGCAGTATTAATAAATATCAACTTGATAGTCACACGTTTGACTCAGAAGTTATGAAATAACCACCTTAAATGTATAAAATTATTAACATTTTTAACATTTTTTTGCGATTACTTAAATAAATAGTTAATGAACGTTAATTAACTAAGACTCAAACAAAAAAATTATTTTTATCACTCGTCTGAGAGTTTTTAAAAGAAACTCTGATTTTCATGTTTTTTTTCACTTAAAATTGACTTCTACATCCTGTTCTGTTTATTCTATTTTAACTTGTAGAAATTCAGGCCTTGAAATTCAGACCATATCACTGATGCAGATTAAAAAGTAAAGTTGGAACGAAAGTAGCAGCAATTAAAGCATATCCTGAAAAGTATTTAATAGGATTTATTTAAATATTTTATGTGAAGGTGTTACCATTATAGTATATTGATTTTTTTCGAATTTTAATGCTCGTCTGAATAAAACATTGGTAGAAGCTTAGACAAAACCAAACGTTATTGAATAAGATTGTTAAAAAAAACTGATAGTAAATGTTTTGACAAAGTAAGACTCCGAAATTCGCTCACAAAACTAGAACTTGTAGAGAAGTTACCTCTCACTAGTAACAGGAAAAGTTACGTATCTTAAGAGCTTTTTAGATCATTAATGTACTAACTAAGTGTTTGGATACCATTTCTTTTAGATTTGTTTCCACAATGTTTGAATTTGAAGTATACAATAATTTACCTGTACCTGCCAAAGTTAGGAATAACATACCTCCTCCTGTCATTTATCTCATACCAAACTGTAATTGTACGAAATGTATTAAAAGTTATGTCACTGTGTATAAGTAGAAATTCCATGCGTTTCGTTTTATTCTTGTAAGTTAAATAAAACGTAAAATAATTTATACAGTAGTAATAAATTCCTTTGATTTTTATTTAGATACTGTTTGTTTATTTTTTAGTGCTTCCATTTATATTCTTAATAATAAAAATATTAAGACAAAACATTTTGGGCCAGAAAATTCACTTTTTTATTTTTGTTTTGAAAATAATATTGAAAACTTTTGATACAATATTCTTACACGTCTTTGTATACATCACATATCTTTGTAACTTACTTTACAGCTAATAATTAAAGGGTCATAAACAGTTCATTTGCTGCAACACTAAATTTTTATTTGACGTGGAAAACTCCAATTTCGAAAACTTAAGTATGTCGAGAAATTTGTTGTGCGCTAGTATTAAGAACACACTTGGACAGTTGGAATTAACCTATCATTCCATGCAATTTCTTTAGAAAAGGTAAATTTTTTGGAAAATCTAAGTAGTACAAGTTGCTTGAAAGACTTTTAATAACTAAATATTGTCAGTTCAAGTGCAAAAAAATCGTAAAAATGGCATAAATCAGTTTTTTACGTCTCGAGCGAAAACTAAAACTCCTACGAAAAAAAAGTAATAAAAACTGTTACTGGTATAATTGAATCAATAAAACCAATAGTTTTAGTATATTTATGTATTACGAATTCTATTATTTCAATTCATCACAATTAAAATGTTGAACAAAAAATTTTTAAATCATATTATTTCTCAAATCTGCATTCTTGATATATTTAAACCGTCACGTGTAATAATTTAATCACACCAGTTATAGTTTTTATATTATTATGTCAAAATCATTCGCATGTAGTGGAGCTATAAAAAAGCAAGTCTGTAAGCAACAATCCTTCCTACCCGCTGGCGCTTTTGTATTTGTTATATTTGCTATGGTCAAGGAGATACGAGTAACATAAGCTTATGAAAAAAATTTGAACATTGTCCAACCAATTAAAATTTTTTCTCATTTTTCCGTAATCACTGATCCAAGTTACTTATAACATCAAAAAAGCCTTTGTGGATCATCACGTTTCTATTTCAGAGCTTTTTGTTGACTGACCTACGGTAACTTTGTACCTATTCTTTATTTATTAATGAAACAAAGGTGGATTCCTTAAACGATCTGATAATTAAAAGATTAGCAGTTAAATACCTTTTTGAAAATTTTAGCCTCTTCCTTGTTACATTGAAAAATAGTTCACTTTTTGAAAATGTCGAGTTTTCGAAACTACAGTTAAACATTGATCTGAAATTTTAACCGTAGTTTCCGGACCCCAACACTGACAACTTGTTGAAATTTTAGCTTTCTATCATTATTAGAACGTAAGTTATTACATAAACAGTTTTTTTAAATAAGAAATTTTTTGTGACGGTTCACTAGTTCAATTTTGCTAATCCAAGGCTCATTCTCTTCGCTGTTTTATCGCTTTTAATACTCTACACTTTTTTTCGTTCGACAAAAGTGGATTTTAACATTTTTTTGGCACTTCAGATGACAACATTAAGCTATTAAAAGTATTTTAATCAATTTGTATTACTTAGATCTCTATGAAGGTTTTTCTTCTACTTCAAAAAAAATTGCTGAAAATTTTTACGCTTTGTACGCTAATTCCACCCGTCTAATGGCTGTTTTTTCATTGTAGCACAGTTGCCATAACAAAGGGACACTCAATTTCTATTTTTTATGATAATACATGTTAAAAAAAGTCTTTGGGACCACAATAAACAGGCTAAGAAAGTATCAAATAATGTTTAGTCAAAACTGGGATAACTCACAAATTTTTGAACTTTGAAAATTTTTTATTTTAATATTTATGGGTTCAGGTGAAAATATCCCAATAAGTTTTTTACTCAAAATGCTCTAAAGAATATTACTAAACCTTTTTTTAACCAAAGACATTCTTTGTTTCTTTTTTTATTCTTGCGTTTTTTAATTTGTTACTAAAATTTCTTAATAAGAATGGTCAATATTGACTTATTCGACTCATCTATTTTTAGAGAGTAAGGGATCAAAATGCATACAATAAAAAAAAGCGAATTCATAGGCCACGCACCCATAACTCTGACCCAGACTAATTTATTTTATAGTAAATGCTAAGTTAACAAATTCATAATGAACATAAATTATTAACATTAAGACATATATTGTGTCAGTTTAATTCCTGTCGTATTGATTGTCATGTTAGTTTAGTAATTACATCGGTGCTATGTTATACAATGGACTAAGGTAATCATATTATTTTTTTTGTGATTCCATGGATGCCTTTTTCAAGAATCTAAATACGACGCTGTTATTAATTTTCTTAAAGTGCTTGTGATTTTAGTTAAATTTTTTATAGGGTATTGATTCTAAATAAATGTACAAATCAATTTGATGCCCGGAAATTAAAAAATTTTTTTTCCATAATATGCAGCCTCTTACAGATTTATTTAACCCTGATATTAATTTTAAGCATTTAAATATCTTCATTTAAAGTCAAAACATGACAAATGAAAGTTTCAGTTTGTTAAAAGTTATGTTATGAAATGAATTATGAAAATATTATATTATAAAAATATTTGAACTATCACAGGGCATTCAATTGATTGACACATTTATTTATAGTTTTGAAAACGTTTTCGAAAATTTAACTCAAAAATACAACATTTTTTAAGACTAATGAGAACCTCGTCTTTTGGCGTATTTAAATCTAGAAATTCGTAAAATTAAAAGAAGAAAAAAGTTTATTCAATGCGTATGCAGCCAAAACTATAAGTTTCTAAGACTTTGTTTAAACAACAAACCCAACATCCATATTGATACAGAAAATTTTACTTTGGCATGTTTATTATAGATTTGTTAGATTATCTGAGCTAACGTTTTTGACGATAACGTGCATTTTATTCAAATTTGACATTAACATGACTCCCCTCAAAAATAATTCTGAAGTTTTGCTAAACTTTGAAAAAAGTTCAAATTTAGTCAAAGTTTAGGCAAATATGGGCACATTAGATTGCTGTGGATTAGCTGCTTTAAATTTTTTTTATGGAGTAAGGTCGATGCCCCAGTACTCGGTCATGTCCCAATAGTCGGTAATCTGGCTGATTTTTTCACTATAAATTTTCAAAACATACATAAATCGGGTAGCTATTCAGACACTAAGCAATTACTCTTTCAATACAAGTTAATGTATAAACCCAATTGAAAATATAAAGAAGGCTCATAAAAAAAATAAGAGACCAACATTTGGGATATTTCGTCTGCTTAAGTGAGCAAGTACTGGGACATCCACCTTAAATAAGGTAAAGTGCAGACTAGTAATCATAGATGGTATACGTAAACATTCGACTATTCCAATTTTGTCTAATAAACAAATGCTTTGTAAATATTTTGATATCTATTTTGCTATTACTTAATTTAAAAAAGCCAATAAATACTTCAGTAACTGTTTTCAGATTAATTTCTGTAACTGTACCTTGTAGAGCTTACGAATTAATTATGAATATTTTAAGATTGGATGTGGCTCTTGTTAAGAATGAAATACGAACAATTTAAAGATTACTAAATACAAGATGAATTCTTACTGTACAGATACATTATGATAAACTGAATAAGAACTTTATTGTGAATAAGTAATTAACGAACTAATGCTGAATTAGCTTGCCATCTGGGGTGCACGCAAAGCATGCAACAATCTTTGAACACATGAGCCATGTACTTATATTTTTTTAGAATAAAATGTAATTCCTTTAATACTTAAAAAAAAAAGTTTTTGATTAAAGAACAAAACACAAGTAGGAGCCAAAAAAAAAAACGTATGTTGACACGAAGGAGTATAAAAAATACACTAGGGTTCAAGTATTAAGTAGATAACCGGTAAATACGGTATAAAATATATTGATGCTGTAAAAGCTGATGAATTATTTCCATACATTTTTTAAATTTTGTAAACGGTGTCTGCGAAAGTCAGCAGGTGGGTCCAACTCCCTTTCCATGCTACTGTCATTTTGCTCATCCTTTTCTTCTTTCACCAGTGTATTTAGCCGACTTTGCTGCTGTTGTCGTAGATGTGAAAATATCGTTAGTTTTGGCTCTTGACAGACCTTTATCCACTTTGGCATGGTGTTCTTTTCTAGTTTTTGTTCCTCTTCTTGTTCTTCTTGTTGGTTGAAAGCTGTAGGACAATCAACCAAGTATAAACGTTCAAAAATTGTTTTATAGCACATCCCTAGTGTGATATAAGGTTAAGTTTACTCAAGTTGTACTGAGTATTTACGCTATGCAAATAAGTCAATTCTTGCTATTTGCCGCAAGTTATCAAATCAGCTGACCGTGGTAATGATTATAATCAGAATAACAAGAATAACCACAAAAATAATAATAATACTAATAACAATAATTAAACTGATCTTGAGATCATACTAAGTTAACAAACCTCTACTTACTATTAAACATGTATAGGGTATCTGACCCAATGATGGACCTTGTCCCTATCGTGGACCCATTATCACATTGTTAATGATAAGTTAAACAAGTGTTTCAATAGCACAATGAATTATTTTTTAAGTTGTTATTTTCTCTCTAATTCACCGTAATAATAACAAATAACAGCATTTAAATAATGTTATATCATTAAAATAATATATTAAAAAGTTACACAACGCTTTTGACTATTTTCTTCATCATGCCTTGTTGAAAACCGTAAGATACTCATATTTTTGAAATGCTGTATAAAAAATTAGGAGTATTATTTGAACTCAAAAAATTGTTTAATATATCAATAAGAGTTTCAGAAAAATAATAAAAACAAATTATACTCCTAAAAAGTATATTTATATACATTATTAGAGGGTCCACAATACAGCCATGATTATCGGCTCTGTCTCTATTATGGACCCTTTATTCCGCCAGTATTGAGTGAACACATAACCTTCAACTCCATAACTTCGAGCTGTTGTTTTTATTCTAAAAGTAAAGAAAGAACAACAAAAAATGCCTCTTAAAAAACGCACCAAGAAGACTAAACAACCATAACAAAGTCATAAAAAATATAAGATTATTATAATAAAAAAAAGTAATAGTAATTATCACAAAATTAGTTTTATATAAAAATTTGTTCTTAAAAACTTATCTCAAAAAGTGCCTAGTCATATATTTTGTTAAAAGTGTGAGAAGTACTTATAAATAAATCTCAAATGTTTATTTAATTACATACAAATATTTTTTTACATTATGGACAGGGTCCATAATTGGGGGGTCCACATAATGGGCAGGGTCCGTAATAGGGGGGTCCACGATAGGTTCAAAGTCCATCGAGGGGGTCCGCAATAGGGACAAAATTTTTTTTTCTTGTTTCATCATTAAAATAAAAATAACAAAACTTTTTGATAAAAAAAAAATTTGATGTTGTTAAAAAAGAATCAAACAACTTATACGTTATTATACAAGGTGTAGTTCTATTGACCGTTAGACACAAAATAAAGTTGAGCTCGAAATTTTTCTTAAAGGGTCCATAACTGGGACATATACCCCTACAGGCCTAACATTAGGTATACGTACAAATCTGTATGCAAAAGCGCATGTCATCCTATATATTAGTAAGAAATGTAACATAATTAAGAGATCAAGTTTTGTAAATTAAGAGCTGCAGCAGGCAGCAGGTAACATCACCACGAGTAAGTATGTGACATGTGCACCCAAAAGCACAGTAGTGGTGAAGACTTGTGAAGTTGGCGCCCGTAAATATTAAATATTAATATTTTGCACCCATTCAAGGCTTAAACGATTCCTCCTTACTTGCGGATTTATCCTCCACTTGAATTTTTATTTGTGGATCAATAGTTTGCGAGATATTTGCAAAATAAAAAGTCGAAAATGGGCGCGGCGCTGAAGTATAAAAAACTTTGTTTTAAGTGCTAAATTGGGTTAAAATCCAATTCTACCTGTACGATTCGATTCCTCCTTATTTGCGGATTACGGAGGTATATAAATTAATGTAATTAAATGTCACAAAGTTTGTAAATGATGAATTTAATTATTGAGTGAGAGAATCTAGTAACTTTTGTATAGTGACTTTTGGTCCAGTGCTCCGTTCCTGTTGTTCGGTACATGTCGTTTAGTCCTTACAGCGGGTTCTACAAAATATTTATCGGAATAGAAAACTTTAGTAGGTATTAATCTATTAATTATCAGTTATAAGTTATTCAGCCTTCAGGTCAATACACACACACACACACACACACACACACACACACACACACACACACATTTTTTGATGACTATGCAATCTAGTGTAAACCCATTTAATAAACATTTTTTTAAATTAAGTACTTGTTAATTTATTACTGGGGCTGTGTTTGCATAGGCTCCGTTTGTAGTATGTTAAGGTCACGTGATCATTTATAGTAAGTGCGAGTGAGACGTTGATATCATGCTGTCTCCCTCGCACTTATGATAAATGATCACGTGACCTTAAAAAACTTAATAACAAACAAAGCCTTAGGCGAACACAGCCTGTGTCACTTTGATCCGTTTCCACTGGTCGGTAACTTGATCTTCAATTTGCCTGATTGATCATTTACGCGCGAAATTTGAATGCTTGAGCCGTTTTCTAAAACTTGTCCAAACAAAATTATTACTTGTGTGCTTAGCTGTGGCTTGTCTTGGGATGATTATAGCTGTACTGCTACTTTTTAGTTGTGTTGTTATTTGTTTCTTGAATAACAACAAATATTAAAATTTCGCACGTAATGAATAAATATCAGTCCACAGTATTTGCCACAATAGATTCTAGATATTAGATTCTTAAGATGAAAAATCTGTACCTATTGACAAATAAATTTTTCTTTGAGCTTGAAGTATGTAATGTATGTGTGTGTGTGTATTGACCCGAAGGCTGAATAACTTATAACTGATAATTAATAGATTAATACCTACTAAAGTTTTCTATTCCGATAAATATTTTGTAGAACCCGCTGTAAGGACTAAACGACATGTACCGAACAACAGGAACGGAGCACTGGACCAAAAGTCACTAGACAAAAGTTACTAGATTCTCTCACTCAATAATTAAATTCATCATTTACAAACTTTGTGACATTTAATTACATTAATTTATATACCTCCGTAATCCGCAAATAAGGAGGAATCGAATCGTACAGGTAGAATTGGATTTTAACCCAATTTAGCACTTAAAACAAAGTTTTTTATACTTCAGCGCCGCGCCCATTTTCGACTTTTTATTTTGCAAATATCTCGCAAACTATTGATCCGCAAATAAAAATTCAAGTGGAGAATAAATCCGCAAGTAAGGAGGAATCGTTTAAGCCTTGAATGGGTGCAAAATATTAATACTTAATATTTACGGGCGCCAACTTCACAAGTCTCACTTAATCACATGATCAAACAACACTTTTACTTGTACACGTAATCCTGAACACATTACTAACTTCACGATAATCAGAATTTAGAGTAAAAAGTATGTAGTTGCTTCTCCATGCGATCACTATCAAATTTTAGCGTGATGAATCTAAGACACATATTCGTGCGGTCAAGCATTCGGTTGGAAAATAATGTGGCAGTAAATAGCATTTGAAAAACTGAGCTTAGCTTAAGGTAGAGTATTCATAGTAAAGAGATTGGTCAGGTTGGTAGGAAGTCAGCCATAAACACTAATGCATACTTACGCGAACATGTACTCACGCGCTCACAGAAAGATAAATGCAGACATAAAATCACGTTCTTCCCTTTCTTCTCTTCATATGCAGGCTAAAGAGGGGTGGACCTCCTTTTTAATACTACACACTTGCCCATATACACTGCACGCTCTCTAAACTACTTACTGGTACTGGTAGATCTCCGTTCTCTCTTTTGCAGGCAAACGGTAAAACAATCTAATACTACCAAGCAACCTACCAGGCAGAAGTCCTCCTCACCTATGCATGCGGGTATGCGTTTAAAGAACGAGAAAATGAAAGGAACCACTCCCACTCTTTTTCGCCGAGTCTTCGTTGATACTCGGGCGTAAATATTATATAGCTATGTGTAAGAGCAGGCAAGAAAGAGGCTCTCGTCTCTCTGGGTCCCCCGTTTTCTTTATATCTGTTATGTATCTATCTTTTCAAAAATTATTCAGTTCTATAGAGAGAGAGTGTGTATTAGTGTATGTAACTATGTACTGCATAATTGCATACTACACAGTACCCAGACACAGTTGACAGTGTGGATGCTATTTTCTCTCATTTATTTAGATTACATACTTCTGATCTCCATTTAACAAGAACATATTTTGTCAGCATATTCATGGCCTTTTTGTGCAAGTACGTGATACCGAAAAGAAACTGCTCAATAAAACCCATAGTACTTGAGAATGTGTGTCTCATCAGCTTTTTGGAGTTATAATTCTATAGACGCATTATGCGCTAGAGTATTTTTTTGCAAAGCAGAGCATTCCTATTAATAAATAAATATTTGTTGCTTATTAATTTATTAACTTTTAAATGAATAAATAATTGCTTCTACAAGTTTTTTTCATTTTTTCAAAACTCAAAAATTTTCAAGCAGTTTTAATGTAGACGAAGCTAAATTTTGAGAAAATTTTATGTAACTGTTTCTACGTTATTTGAGTTTATATGTATGGTTCATACTTTTTTCAAAACACTATATCTTTATAAGTTTTGATTCATTTTCTATGCTTCTGAGCTCATTTTTTTGTAAGTTATTGTAGAACATTTATGCCTAATGTATACTTTACAATGCCACATATAATATATGGTGTTTTCTGTTACTTTTAAAATACCCTAACTTTCAGGTTCTATATCTTTTTTAATTTTTATTTGTAAGTAAANTTTTTTTTTTTTTTTTTTTTTACCAAATGAGTGGCATCTTTGGGACTGTAACGATTTTGAAAAACGTGAAGGTGTTCCAGCTTCGTGTAACCCAAAAGTTCTATCACGTCCTCGTGAAGATTGTGAGGACTTATCACAAGAGTCTGTAAGACAGTGGTCACATCATGTTTTACAACAAATACCAGTAAGTATATAGCGATTCGAGAGGATTGAAAAAACGTGGGCTTACTTTTAAATTCAAAAAGACCCCCACGTGTAAGATGGGACAGTGCGTC